GTAAAGGTGGGGGTAGGTTGAATAAGATTTATCATGAGGGAGTTAGGAGGTGTTTGGGGGCACTATGAGGACATTTCCCCACTCCTATGCTTCACCGGATATATCCTTTGTCCCTGCTTCAAGGTCTCTCATTCCTTATACTTTGTTGTTGTTGTTGTTATGTGCCGTCGAGTCAAACCCGATTCATAGCGACCCCTCCTTGGGTTTCCGAGGCAGTATCACTACGGAAGTAGGATTGCCCAACCTTCCTTCCGAGGAGTGGCTGGTGGGTTTGAACCGCCAGCCGTCTGATTAGCAGGCAAGTGTCTTAGCCACTATGCTACCAGAGCTCCCTCCTTATACTTACCAGAACCCTATTCTCACAGTCCTTGGTGATGATGAGATGAGCTTCTGTGGATTTGGAGGCCCTTCCCCTAGGGGAGGACATGCCATGGTTCCCAGAAAGCCATTTATTTACTGTCTCCCCCACCCCTAAAAAGGAACCAGGGCATCTTCTTTAATTACAAGGATCCTGGGTCAAGGAAGCTGCCTATGGGGTACTGTTCTCTGTCTTTGAGCCTGGGTGGCAACAGGGGCCACTAGCCAACTTGGGGCTCCTGCCCTATACCCAGTGCCCTGCGCTCCTTGCTCTCAGCACCCCTCATAGCCAGCTTCAGCTAAGGAGTCCTGCTTGGCAGGAAAGCTATGGCAGGTGGGAGGAGAGAGGAAGGCAGTGAGGCAGAAACAGCTGCCAGCCTAAGTGGAGGAAGAGCAGGGCCCCAGTGGGTACGGGCAGACAGCAAGGCGCTGGCTCTGGCATAATGCAGACCCCTCCCTAATGTGTGGGTGTTGGGCCCAAACTTTCTCAGCCTTCCCCATCCAATGCTGCTGTTCAGGGAGCAGGCTCTGTTTATAGGCCTAAATTCTGGGCTGAAATAGACCACAAAGGCCATGTGGTCCAATTCCTCCTTTAATCTGGTGTTAAAGTCACCTCTACAGTATTTCTACTAAGGGTCTGCCCATTATTAGCCCGGACATTTCCTAGGACAAGAAGGAACACACCTCCTCCTGAGGCAATCTGATCCCTCTTTGAAAGAGGGGGCAGGACATAACTATTAACTGAGCGACTCTGATGTGCTAGATCTAGGTATTGGGCAGATAGCTCATTAATAATGACTGCACAGCGATGTTACAATGAATTAGCCCCATTTTACAGATGATAAAAATGGAGCTCAGAGAGTTGGAGTCCCTAGCTCAAGGTCACACAAGTAATAAATAAAATACTTGGGTATGAATCCAGGATTTTCTGACTCTGAAGTCCCTCTGGAGCCAAGCAGGATATGCCTCTTCTTTTGCAACATGACCATTCTCCTGAGGTCTGAAGTCAAAGACCACATCCTCCCAAGTCTCCTCTTTTTTGTAATAAACAGCTCCTCCTCCTTCAACTATCTCTCCTGTGAAGTGGATTCCAGCTTCCTCCCCAATCTAGTCAATGTGAGACCCAGAACCAAATACCAAACATACAGTGTGCTGTTTGGGTTTGGACTAGTACAGAATAGAGTAGAACTGTCACATCCTTCCTGAACATTAATTTCTATTGATGAGACCCTATGCTGGAAGAAGAGTTGAGAACTGTTCTTCCCTTGGGCCTCTATCTCTTCCTGGATCAAGAGCTGTGAGAGAAGAGATTAAGGTTTTGTTCCCATCTCCACCACTTTCCCCAGTCTGAATGTTCTGAATTTAGAGCAGGAAAGAGGCAGAAGGGGGGGAAAGAGGCAATCAGAATCAAGACACAGAGGACTGGGAGGATGGAGATCTATGGGGGAGAAACCACAATGATCCAACAGTGAGAGGGTTGCCCAGTAATCTTAGGCAGGGCCAGGAGGGACACAGTGTCGACGTGGGCAATAATGGAGGACAGAGGACCATTCCTCTTCTCCAGGGGTTGTGAGAGGCCAGGGTGGGGATGGGCATTGGGCCTGCCTAAGTTAACATTGCCATTCTGTGCGAGAGGAAGTCAGTCGCACATTAAGGAAATGTTGCAGCTGGTACTAAATTGGGAGGTGTCACAGCCAGCAGTGAGGACAGGTATGATTCGTGGGGCCCTGCATGGCCCAGAACAGGGACAGACATTGCAAAGGAAGAGAGCAAGTTTTCTCGGGCTGCCCAGGAAAAATGTGGCTGAGGCACGCAGGACAGGTACCCCAAAAGAAAGGATTACTTGGCCCTGGAGCAGAGATTCTAAGCTAGAAGTAGAGGAAACTTCCTCATCCTGGCCTGTGGCTACGGGATCTCCACTCAGGAGAAGCTCCGAATATGGGCTTCATCTCCAAAGGATCCCATCTGGGGCAGAGGCTGGACAGGAGGGCTTAGAGTCCAGAGGCAGGCTCAGGAGTGGGCAAAGAAGGAACAGGGCCTGGGAGAAAGGTGAGATGAGGAACTGAAGAAAGAAGGGGCTACAGGATGGAGAAGAGCATGACTTCCTTTTCCTGTAATGGCCTGTAATATAACTGTGTTTGAGAGCCCTGTGGATCTGGACCTCAGTTAAGGAAGAGAGCACAGGAGTGGGAAAGACAGAAAGAGAGCTGTGGAGCTGGTACTGCCCTTCTCCTGGAACAGCAGACAGCAAGAAAGCATGAAGAATTCTCTTGAGAGAGACTAGGAGACAAAGGAGAGGAAGGAGAGCTCTGGCCATTGAGAACTTGATGTGAGGCCATGGTAAAAGCATGGGCTTAGTTCCAGAACATATGGATTTGAGTTCTGGCTCTCCTGCTCATGAGCTGAGTGACCTTGGGGCAAATCGCCTGACCCCTCCTGCACATCAGGACCTGTCCTGCATGTTTTAGTCACATGCTTCCTGGGCAGCCCAAGGAAATGGTGCTAGCATTACCAACAGTCTAAGGCAGTTGTGATCTCAAAATGTGTATGAAAGGGATTGAAAACCATAAAATATTTCATCAATGTCAGGTGCTATTTTATTATTACAAAATACTATCAACTACCTTTTCTCATTTGAATCTCACAAGTTCCAGGATGTGAGCAGAGCAAGGATGATTGTCCCTGTTTTACAAATGAGGAAACAAAAGCATAAAGAAGTGAAGTGACTTGCCCAAGGTCACACTGCTAACAAGTGGTAGAGGTAAAAAAGGATTCCTGACTCTCAGAGATCAGTTATCTTTCTCCTGCATCTAACTGCTTGGCAAAACAGTCCATGTGAGGGATTGTTCTTTAGTGGAGGATCAGATCTTGGAGCTGAATATAAATAACACGAAGCAAACCCCACAGGAAAGTTGTGGTGTGATTTCTCATTCATCCTGGTGATTGAGAAAACAACCTAATCAGGACCATGGGGCTGAAGGGAGGGTCACGAAAGACAAACATCCTTTGTTCCATCTGGTAGTGGACTATGTCACTCTGCCCTTATTGGATGTACGTGTCTGGGACTGACATCAAGAGTGTGTACCTCTATCTCTATATGACAAAATGTGTCTTTCTTCATGTGACAGTACTTCTGTCTGCATGCCTGTAACACCATGAAGAGATGTATGTACGTGTGACATGGTATCTGCCTCTATGGCACTGTTTGTGGATGTGCTGACTTCTGTATGTCTGTGTCACTTTCCCTTGGGGGAGGTGGTGGTGTATGGCAATGTGTGTGTGTGTGTCTGTCTGTCTGTACACCTTTAAGAAATGGAATATCTCATTTGGTAGTGAGAGTGAGGTAGTGAGTCAGCTGAGGCTGACGGAGGCGGGAGGGAGACTGCTAGGTTACAAGCACAGAAAAAGGAAAGGGGGAAAGTGAAGTCAGGAGCAAGGAGCTACCCTTTTCTCCCCAATGCCCTGTCTCAAATCCCTAGGGGCTAACCAAGAGCATGGAGGCCCTACAGAAGCCCACAGGGTTGTGTTGTTTCTGCCCTTCCCCAAAGCTTTGGATGGAAATGAGCAAGGCTTGGAAGCAACTGTCTTCCTCTCAAATCCTCAGCTCTCAGCTCAAGGATGTGTAAGGCCACTGCCCCACCTGGTCTCCTGTCACTTGACCTTTTGACCTTGCTGTTCTCTTTCCTGCCAAGGCAAGCAACATGGCCCTGTTGGAAAAACAGGGCAGTAGCACCACATCCCAAATGACCCCAACCCCCATTCACCTACTGTCCAGAATACCCAGCTGAGGGTCAGGAAGTTTCTCAACACTCAGCTGTGCCCTAGGCAGGCCTTTCTGCAGCTGCCTCTCTTCTCCTCTGGATGCCTGTTCCCAGCATCCAGAAAGCCAGCTTTCCCTCCACTGCCAACCCAGGGCACTGGGAATACACTGGGGAGGGAGATTTTTAATGCATCCTTCAGTGGCTCTCCCACAAGCCACTGTGCCCCTTGTCCCCAGCTTCTTCTTTGTCAGGAGAGAGGAGTCAGCAGTCCCCCTCCTTGGGAAGAGACCAGCACTCCAGGGCTCTGCCTGCCCTGGCTTTGGCCAGTCAATCTCAGGTCATGTAAGGTCAACAGTGTGGTCTTCCCCACCAACAGGAATGCCCCTCCTCTCACCCCTCATTGGCAGGGACCAACTCAGTGAGTGTTAAGTTGTCAAATATTCTCTCTGCCATTGGCCTTCCCTCCTGCACCAGCCAGTCCCTTGGCCCCTACAGGGCTCTCAATTCCAGCTCAGGAAAGGAAAGGGGCACAACTGGTTAAGAAGGGAAGCTGGGGAAGTACAATCCCTCTTTCTACCCCCTTGCCAACCCCAGGCTGAGATCCCTCCCTCCTCACATGCGGGGGCAGGGCGCCAGGAAGCCCCAGCTCCAAGGTGCCCAAACCTGGAATTAACAGAAGTTGGTCAGGTGGTTACCTGACCTGAATCCCTGAGGCCCCTTCTCTGGGGAAGGTCCCTGGGTGTCGCTCGTAGTGCTGCACTGAGAACCGCGGGTGTGGGGTGGGGGGTTGGTAGAGGAAGAAGCCACCTTTTTTCTCCCAGTCCCACTGTCACTGCTGCCGCTGCCGAGGCAGTCGCTGAGGCCGCGGACGCCAGTTCCTACCTTACAACCTTTCATGCAGGACCGAATTGAGTATTCTTCTGCTTGTAAGTATTTATGCAGCACGAGGTCAAACTCGTCATATTTTTCCTGAGCATGTCGGTCCAGCCGTTGGTACGCCTCGATACAGTTGCTACACGCCTCCCAGGCCCCAGAGCCCGGACTGGCCACCACCGCTAGCAGGTCCCCCAGCAGGGTGTCCAGGCTGCAGTCCAGGCTGTCTGGGCGGTCCATGCCCAGCAGCAAATCCCAGACAGTGTAGGTGTCGCAAAAGGAGAGAGTGAAGTTCCGAAAGTGGCCTCTGAGCAAGTTTTTTTGGGCGGAGGGGAACTCGGCCGGGGCATGAGAAGGAGAGTCAGGGGGCCGCAGAAGGGGGGCTGGGGTACTTGGTTCGAAAAGTCTCTGCAAAGATTGCAATTTGGTGCAAGCTGCGTCCAGCCCCATGGGCTCAGAAACGCCGCCGCAGTCCGGCCCGCTGTCGGCGGCGGGGGCGGCTTTGGTCAGGTTGCTGTATCGGGGGCTGCAGGTACCCGGGGGCGCGCTGGGCTCACCAGGCGGTGGCAAAGGCAGCACAGCGCGAGGAGGCACTGGCTCCCGCTCACGGCCGGCCCCCCAGGGCGGCTGCATGGCGCTGCTCAGCTCCCTGGCCCGGGGCCGGGCCCCCGCGCATAGCCACAAATGGTCAGCGAGCAGCACGGTGAAGAAGAGCAGGGACGCTAGGGACAGTCGCCATCGCTGCGCGCGTTCGGAGTCGGCGCAAGGTTTGTCACTCGGCCTGGGAGCCCAGCAGCAGCAGCAGATAGTCAGCGCGGCGGCGTCTTTCCCGGGCCACATCCAAGCGCCCCTGAACATATTTCAGGGGGATCCGGGCTGGAGGCGGCAGGCAGGCGCGAGGCCGGACGGCCGTCTCCGGCGTGCAAGCTGCGCGCCGCTCTGCGCTCCTTGGCGCCGTCCAGGCTCTACCTCGGGGGCTGCATGGTAAGGCAGGCAGGCCGGCCCAGGGTCCCGCTCAGGCTGGAGTCGCAGGGCGACCTCGTCCGGTCCTCACGCCCCTCCTGCGTTCTCTCGCTTGCAGCCCAGGCGCTGCCGCCCCGCCCGCTAGGCGCTGCCCGGCGTCCCAGCGGGGGGCGGTGCAGGGCACTGGGGCGGTGGCGGCTGCGGCGCAGCACTCCTCATAGTGTCGGGCCCCTCAGCTCCTCTAGGCTCCTAGCCACTCACTCCGCCCCGGCAGCTGCCATGCTCGCACTCTGCTCGGGCCATCTCGGCTGACTCGGCGCTGCTCTGCGCCCCTCTGCGCCGCCGTGCGGGCCCGGCCTCTGCGCTCCGCTCCGCTTGCTCGCTTCGCGCCGCTCCTCTCCCGCCCGTCCGCCCGCTTGCTACCCGCTCCACGTTGCCCCCTGACTCGCTCGCGCCTTCCTAGGCTGGTCGTCCGGTCCGCTGCCCAGCCCCTAGGGTTTGTCTCGCGCTTCGGCAGTGCGCTGGGGCCAGTTGGGGCAGGCTCTGCTCCCTTCCTGAGCCGGCTGCTCCGGGAGTTCAGGTTCAGGCGGGCCACCTGGTTCCCGGCAGCGCCAAAGGCGCCGGACGTGGACGCCGGGCTTTACTTAGTGCGCCTCTCGCTTCCGCTTTTCTTTCGCACCGTTGTGACTGCCGCTGAGCGGCACGGACCGGCAGCTCCCACTGGCCATGCCCCTCAGTCTGTCGCCATCTTTCGATGTACAGAGAACACCTTGAGAGCCCCAGTGCGAGTGTGTTTGGGGGTGAGCGGGGCGGAGAAACAGGCACTGAAAGGAGGAGGGAGCGGGACTGGAGCCCCGACTGCGCCTGCGCCGGAGGTTTCTCTCCCTCACTCTCGCTCTCGCTCACTCGCTCTCGCTCTCTGGCTCTCTCGGGCTCTCTGGCTCTCTCCCTCTCTCTGGCTCTCTCTCTCTCTCATACACACACACACACACACA